TTATTTTACCTGTCTCACTTCATGTGTTTATTTTACCTGTCTCACTTGTCCTCCGTCTCACGTCGTCCTCTACCGGCTCGTCTCACTTCTCTCCGCCATTGTTGTTGTTCGTCTCCTTTCTTCTTCGAGGGTAGAATTATATCTACTTCCGGGTTTTAGCAGCACTCTGCTGCCACCTGCAGACCCGGAAATAAAACGTTTCACAATAAAACTTACATGAGTTAATTTTATTAAATACAGATGTTTATTAATTATCCCAGTTCTGACAATTACTTAATTAACAAACGTTAGAATGTGTTGGAGGATGAACAATATACTGTTAAAATATTTTAGAAGCCAAAGAAAATATCCATTTTACTTTGTTTTATGTATTTAATTACAAGTTAATTGGACAAAGATGATGAAGATGTATTTTAATAATTGAACTCATAATTGAATTGATACATTATACAGATGTATACACATAGCTACACACACAATTTTAATTAATGATTGCATTCCTGAATTTATACACGTTTTAGCGTGATTTAAATGTACTTTTTGTTTTACATGTAATAATATTAGTCATGTATTCATAGTTGGTGGCGGTAATGCACCAATTCATTGTTTGCCAACCACCAATAAACCTCAAAGAAGAAGACATCAGAGAACGGCTCGCGCCGCGTCCCAGCTCCGCGGTTGGCGGGCTGCACCGCGCGTCCAATCTGCGCAGCGCTCGCGCAGTTTCGGCGGCGGTAGGGCGGGGTTTGTTTTGAGCGAACTGGAGAGAGAGAATACTCACCAGGGAAAGATGGCGACCGCGGGGTCCGCTGAACGGCCCGGTAGACCGGCCACCTCCGGTAAGCAACGGTACGGGCCCGTAGCTGGGTGCGGGTCCGTTGGATCCGGTTCCAGTCCGGCGGAGAACGAGGCGAAGAAGAAGAAGAAGTGCGCGGAGGGTCACCCGGCCTGTCGACTCCGACGAACCCAGAGGCGGCCCGGCAGCGGAGAGGAGAGGAGGAGCGATCCGGAGAAGAGCAGCGGTACGGCGGGCAGGAGGGACCGCGACAACCGGAGAGGTGAGTGTGTGTTCACCGGAGAGACCACAGCTTAGTACCCGGATGTGTCAGCGCGGAGGGTTAGGGTGCGTTTGATTTAGGAACCGGAGGCAGAGCGAGAAAAAAACACGGAGACAAGAGCAGAACTTTAGAATAAAGTTTAGTTTTGAGAGGGAGGTTATGACGTCACTCAGTTAAAAACTTACGAGTCATGTGATGGAAGAATAAAGGTGTGTATGACGTCACTCAGGTAAAAACTCAGGAGTCACGTGATGGAAGAATAAAGGTGTTTGTTCTTCAACAAGTCCTCCAACACCAGAAGGGTGAGGGGACTTGTCTAAACTTGTCCAGCTGTAGGAGGAGCTGATGTACTGTAGTACTACTACTACTGTAGTAGTACTACAGTACTGTAGTAGTTGTACTGTAGTACTATGTGTTTATCTCATAGTGATCATCGTACGAAAGATAAATAAGGATTCTGAACATTAATCAATGTTATTAAATCGACTGTGAACTCTTTTATAAATATTACTTTTCTATTTGCTGTTACTTTATATTATTTGTATTATTACTCTTGTTGTATTTTACTTCATTCATTTAATCTTATTGTTATTGTGCCAGTGTTATTTTTGTCAGTATTATTTCTATTACACTGAATAATAATTATTCTATTGTGCTTATATGTTTTATTCTATTGTGTTTTGTGTTTTCTTAATAAAGTTCTATTTTATCTTTATATATAAAAGTGTGATTAGTTTAATATCTTAACACACTAACATCTACATCTTCTCTAGATACTGATCCTCTGTTAATAAATAATAATAATATAATGTGTGAAGGAAACACCTGACAAATATGTTCTCATGCAGTTCAGACTGTAAATAATGATTTAGTTGTGAGTTCAGACTAATGTATTCATAATTAATAACTCATGTTCCCATCCCCATAAAGAGGGTGAACTAATGAATCATGTGATTGTGTTGTTTGTCTCTTCAGAGCGCTTCGTGTCTCCAGCTCTCATCCCAAAATGTTGTGATGTTTTAACGGGACCGACCGGTAAACACAAGGTGAGTCTGATATTTCCTGCTGTCAGTCAATGCAGCATCAGGCTAGAGAGGCTCGGTGAGTTCAAAGACTGACGGAGGTTTGTGTTTCCAGCTGGTGTCTGAGGAGAGAGACGAGGTAAAGAGGAGGAAAGACGAGTCGGTCCGACGCGACGAAGAGCCAGTAAGACCTGTGTTAGAAATACAGTTGTGTGAAAAAGTGTTTGCCCCCTTCCTGATTTCTTATTTTTTTGCATGTTTGTCACACTTAAATGTTTCAGATCATCAAACAAATTTAAATATTAGACAAAGATAACACAAGTAAACACAAAATGCAGTTTTTAAATGAAGGTTTTTATTATTAAGGGGAAAAAAAAATCCAAACCTACATGGCCCTGTATGAAAAAGTGATTGCCCCCCCCCTGTTAAAACATAAATTAACTGTGG